ATGCGAGAGGAACAATAGGTCAGCGAGTGAAAGGTGATCTTACTGTGAATGAAATTAAAAGGGCGGAACTGATGCTGGTGAGAGTTATCCAACGGGAATCCTTCACTGGACCAGAGGACAAGAGGTTGAAGGATTTCAAGTTATGCTGCGATTCTTTGGGATTGTTGAGGGTCAAAACTAAAATAAGTAGGAGACAAGATCTGGAAAGATTGATTGGTTTGCTGAAACAACTCCTTAGGAAGATTCTTGGTCAAGCTCGTTTGGAATTTGAGGAACTTTACACCATTATCTGTGACACAGAGTATTTGATGAACTCACGTCCATTAACCCCTGCCTTGTTCTTGCACGACCTCAAAGAAATAGGAGTTCCAGATCTGGACTCTATTGAAAGGGCTAGTCTTCAGAAGAGATACCGATTTAGACAAAGGTTAAGAGAAGATCTGCGGAAGAGATTCCGGACGGAGTATTTTGGATTCTTAAGGCAAGAGACTAGAAGACGCTCGAAGACAAGACCTATCAAGGTGGGAGATCTGGTGTTTATTGGACAAGATAATGCTAAGCGAGTCAATTGGCCTTTGGCGAGAGTTGTGGAGGTCTACCCTGGCCGAGATGGACCTGTGAGGGTCGCCAAGTTGAGAACCAGCAAGGGCGTCCAGATTAGGCCGGTTCAACGGCTCTACAATTTAGAGATACCCGCCGATCTGGGGAGTACCTTGAGGAGTATACAGTCGGAACCACGCCGGGGAGGCTCCCGAGGAGAAGCCAGTAAAGACCCTACGAAGATAGCCCAATCCTAAAGAACTGGAATGAACGGTCGTTTCCCAACTATTGGTTGAGTTTCTGTAGAAAAAACTCAAGGTGGGAGTATGTTGGGAATAGAATGTTGATTTTCTTATAGATTTATATTTTTCTAAATATATGTAAATTTAATCCATTATAAGAAACATATTTGTCATATGTAAATATTTATATGTATATATATTCGTGACAAAAAATAAACTATTATGTTGACTGGTTAGACTCGTGTGGTTTCTCGGCCCGCTCTCGAGAGGTCTACGCCTTGGTTGATACCTGCCTTAGACACTTCCGCGGATTTGACTTCTTGGGAATCGCTCTTCTCTACCTTTGAGATTCCACGGTTTTTTTCCTCCCCGGGACCAGAATAAGAGACTTCGGGCGTCTGGGCAAAATAGAGCCTGGGCGCTGCGCCGCTGAACGCGACAATATATATATACTAGCGGATGTGTGCCCGGCTTCGCCCGGGTTTTATCCGAGTGAAAGTTTGCCTAACCAATATTATTGATAATATTCCATATACTAGATGACTGCCCGCTGTACAAATTCAATGGAGGAATCTCCAATCTCCATTCTGTCACCCCGGAAGCCCTAAACTGGCTGAAGGCCTTGCCTCTCAGACTTTAATGACCGATATGTCCTCACTTCTTTTTTCTAGATTTAATTCATTTTGTCTCCTCTCTAATTGTAAATACGCTGCTGTATCACCTCATAAGCATAAATAAATTGATAATAATATTCCGGAACATACAGAATATTATGATAATAATCATAATAATATTCGTTAAATTATATATTTACTAGACGAATGGCCCGGGCAACGCCCGGGTTTTACCCGAGTGCGTATATATTTTTAAAACGTTTTAATTCAAATACTATTCGTTACAATTATAAATTGGCGCCATGTGAAACGTCCCGTTCCAAACTGTGTGTTTTTAAAATGTTTTAATTCAAATACTATTCGTTACAATTATAAATTGGCGCCGTGGATGTCTCTCTTGTGAAACGTCCCGCCCCAAACTGTGTGTGTCTTGAAAATATAAAAATAAAAATGTAAATTTTCATAAAGATTTCATCATGTCGATTTTTTTTTTTTTTTGCATTTCACCTACTAAATCGATAGAGATAATTACATTTGCAACATCAACTTAGGTATATTGACTAAATAGAAAACTGCATAGTAATAAATTAACTTTATATTAACTTTATGAACGGAAAAATATGTCCAGGGTAGCCTAGTGGTCATGGCATCTGCCCGGTAAGCGGAAGGTCGTGGGTTCGATTCCCATCCCTTGACACTTTTTTTATTTTATCCATTCTGACCAAAATCTATCCGTGAACTTCACACAGTGAACTTCATACAGACAGAATAAGGCAATTATATAAGTAGATGAAATTTATTTTTCAGGTAAACATATCCTCTCTCTCTACTGAATAGATTTTTAAAAAGATATACATAAATAAAAATATCTGGAGATATACTACATGATCTTAGCCAAAAGGCCGAGAAACGATATTTTATATATAGAGATGACCTGGCTTCGTGTGTCTTCTGCTCGAGTGAATGTTTCGCTGGTAGAATTTTGTTCCTGCCTACTATTAATCATTATCTGGCTTCGCCCGTGGTCTGCTTTAGTGAATATTCCCCAAAATAATTTTTTAATGCAATCAAGCATGATGCTGCAATATTGTCATCATCATTTCTGACTAAAAAAATATTGTTGCTCAGTACTTGGTTAAATATAATTTTTCTTGGTTAAAGTGCGACAAAAAAAAACTCTTCCAGATTTAACTCTCTGTCCTGTTCAAATTTCAGCGAGATTAGTTACATATTGAGGGCGTGCATAGCCGACAAACATATATATATATATATATATGTTCCCAGCTTCGCCCGATTTTTACCCGAGTAAAAGTTTGCTTAACAAACATTTGTTAAAACGATTCTAGAAAACATCCAATCCCTACTGAATCTATACTTGTCTACACTCTCGATAATTTTTTCCGGGTCCCTTGAAAAATACTCGATAAGTTGAAAAAAATCAGTATTAATTGGTCCACTCGGTAATTTGAAGTTGAAGGAATAGTATCTTGCCACAAACGAAGATTTGTAAATAACTGTATTTAGCGAAAGTACCCGGCTTCGCACAGTTTTTATCCAAGTAAAAGTTTGACTAACGAACATTTGTTAAAACAATTCTAGAAAACATCCAATCCACCTATATATTGATTTATAAACGTATATAAATATAAATATTGTTATATGAGTTTTAATATATTTTTGAAACACATAATTTTTTGAAAACATTTATTATATTTCAAATAAGATATTGTCACTTTTGTGAATTTGATAATTAATTATTTCTTTTTTATCACACACACACACAATGAATTATATATATTCATTTAAAATTTCATTTTTTTATCATCATCACATACAATGTAATTTTTTTATATAAACAACGATAATAAACAACAACAATTAGGGGCTCAAAAATCATTTATTATGGTTAGCAGCTCCGTAAATAAAGATATTTATAAAGTAATACTTAAATCCTCCCCGCATAAGTTTATTTTTTGTGAAAAATCAACATTAATTTCAAAGAGAAATATGTACTATTTCTAACTCCTTGGATGACGTATGAAAAGGTTGAATATATGAAGAGTAATGGTCTATATATGATTGGATGACGTATGAAAGGGTGAAAACGTGAAGAGTAATGGCGAACGGAAAAATAAAAGTGTCCAGGGGCGGGAATCGAACCCACAACCTTCTGCTTACCGAGCAGGTGCCATGTCCACTAGGCTACCCTGGACGTATTTTTCCGTTCGTAACTAATACTTAAAGTAACTTTTTTAATACATTATAAAGGACTGCGGCGTATGATTATAAAGTAATACTTAAAGCCTCCCCGCATAAGTTTATTTTTTGTGAAAAATCAACATTAATTTCAAAGAGAATATTTTCACAACAACAATTAAAGTTGCATCATCCTTTTTATAAAACAACAGCAAATTAAATTAACAATATATGTAAAAATATTTTGTAACATTATATTTTAACATTTAACACAAAAACGTTACAATTTTTTCTTTAAATATATATTAATATTGAAATGCCAAGTATTTTTTTACGTCATTGGAATATTATATTACTAAATTCTCAAATTAAATTTATTATACTTGGAAAACATTTTAAGCATTGTTACAATTTATAAATATAATTTCACCAGATGCCGCTAGAGGCGCTGCTTGCGAATGAAAGTAGAAAATTTGCAAATAAAATTGCAAAGAATATTTATTTCAAATCAAATTCAAACTAGAAATATTCCCAGTAGTATAGTAAATAACTTCCTAAAGTTTCACGGCGATTGGATAATCTTACCTTTTAAAAACATTCATCGTGTGAACAAACTAACATTCATCGTGTAAACAAACCACGTGTTAATTATTAACCAATCAAATTCATTTATCGTCGCGACCAGTGCTGCGCCCAAGCGGTAAAGGGCTGGAACTAACGCTTTTTGGTTTTTTATTTTTTTAAGAAAGCACATTAACTTTTTTAGTTTTTTGAATAGCTTATATGTTAAACGAAATCTTCAGCTACCTACATGCGAAATTTCGTAAAGATTTATTCTGTAGATTTTGCGCAACGCGATAACAAACATCGATTTTGGATTTCATTTTTATAGATAGATAAGGATATCAATATAATATTCATAATAAAACGTAGGCTTCTAGAATGAGTTTCTTACTTTATGAAATACTTCTCAAGTTTTCAGGTACTGTGAACCCTTCTACAGAAGTATATAAACGAATTGAATCTAATTAAAAATATATATTATTAAATATAAATAATAGTTTTAGAAAAAAATTGATTCATTTCGTTTATATACTCCCGTAGAAGGGTTCACAGTACTCGAAATCTTGAGAAGTATTTAATAAAGTAATAAACTCATCCTTGGACCCTGCGTTTTATTATGATTTAAACTTCAGAGGATTTTTCCAATATATTATCAATGTAATTGTTTAAAAGCTAAACATCTTAATTGTGTAAATAATAATAAAAAAGACCAATATTACAGGAACACAACATTTATTCACGCACAACATTCAAAGAAAAAGATAAAAGAATTTTGATGGTAAACTCCAATGGGGTTGTTCGTGCTGAGTAACTTCAGCAGGGGTTGAAGTCCGGCCTCCTCCGACGTCGCCGGATCTGGAGGTAGACCAGGATGGTGAGCCAGGCCACCAGGGCGGACTCCAGGCAGGTGAGTGCTAGGTCTGGACGCTGGAAGATCTGGGTCCACTCCACCTCCGGGGCAGTCTTTACGGTGGGGCTTCTCACCGCGGGTCTTATCGGCATGGTGTCGCCAATGGTCAGGGACAGGAGCAGGAGAATGCTGGTCAGCGCAGCCATGATTGCTTCGTATTGGGTAGTAAGTCTTGTGATTGTTTCTTTGTTGTTTCTTAGGAAACAAACTCTCTAACAATCTTTATATATATATAAAGTAGAACTTGGATAATTCAAACGTCTTTAATTAGAATATTTATCTTAGTCCTTAGACTTTTATATAAATTTAATTTCTGTTTTTAATTCGAATTTTTGGATAATTCGATTTTTTTTTGTTCTCTTGGGCTTTGAATTATCCAAGTTAGACTGTATTATAAATTATTTCTTGAGGTAGTTTATGTCAATGTGGAATACGTTATATGACAACTTCCATATTTAGATTTGACAAGCTTCTTCACACACATACAGCTTTATTAAGACCACCAGACTTATACAAATTCACCGCAGGAAGGAAGCATTAGATGGAGCTCATATACTCCAGGCAGCACAGAACCCAACAACAGCCTCCAGATTCAACACATGTCCAGTAGCCACAGATTCCACCGTGCATATGTCAAGGCTAACGTATCACTGAAAATACGAATGTGAAAAGCTTTTTCATTAAAAAGAGTACACATAGTACAAATTTTGCATGAAGATTGGGATGAATTCTAGAATTTTCAGGTATATCTTAGAGTCGATCAATTTTGAGAATAATCAATTCACTCGATATCCTGTTGTTAACATTTTGTTTTAAATAATAATTATTATGTATTTATAATTATTTATTTTGGGAGAGATACATTTAATCTTAGCCAAAAGGCCAAGAAGCGACTTGGGAGAGAGAGAGGAAGGTGAAAACTAAACATTTTAATATATTTGGAGGATATATATTTCTTTGACACTCTCTTATTTATTTTTAATGATGATTGAAACACGCTCTGGAAAAATTCAGGTTATGTACAAAGAGAAAACTGAAACCGACGAACCTGCTAAATCGAAAACTGATGTAACAATATATAATCCCCTGAGGGCAGATGTACGAATTGTTATTCTTGCGAGATCCATCTTCTCTGTGTGTTAGGACAACGGAGGATTGTTGGAGCCCTCGTGTTGCGGTATTAATTAACTACGGTACGACGTTGTGTAATATTCCAATGGCGTGCTGAAGATCAATCGTTAGGCTCTTAATGACGTAGATGGGCGGGTGGGTATCTCACAGAGATGAGGGGGACATTGCGTGGAACCAAGATTTTATAAACTCTCAGAATAATTTCTCAATTTGAGAATATTCCCAGAGTTAGTAAATTCACCATCAATTTGTTGTGGGATATCGGAAGTTTGCCACTATATCAGGGAATGACCCTCATCCATTCAGATATATCTACGAATGTGATCATATCTTTTGAATTCTCCAAAGAGTGAAAGCTAATATTGTGGCAAAATCTAGTTTAATTTTTTAATGAAGAAATGTTTTGTATGTGTATTAGAGTTATATCTATCAAAACGACAGTTTGTCTTTAATTTTAAAAAAGTAAATCAAATGAATAAAAACGTGACAGATATTGAAGAGACATGCCTCTTTGCATGCCTCTTTATTTATTTTGTAAGAGTAGGTTCTGTCATGTCTACCTGCAATAGAAAAAACTATGTTACTATAATACACAGGAAAGTGTGGCACCATATTGTGTGTTCTCAAATAGCTGCCACACCCTGTACATATACTTAGTCTAGCCATAAATATTGTTACAAAACCAAATCAGTGATAAAAATTTTAATTTGACCGCGTGAAGTATTCAAAATACAGTAGTTGTTATTTTAATATCTCGTGCACACGTGTTTAGAAAAGAAATCGGAATATATTTGTTTTTTTTTATAATGGATTGGGGTATTAAAGAAAACCGTATAGCTGTAATAGACTTACACAAGGTAGGCCAAAGTCCTTCATCCTTTTTAAACTTTTACAAAATTTGAATATTACGCGTCAATTTGTTTATCGAACGATTTAAAGGTTCAACAAGGCTGGCACTATTAATGGCCTTGAAAGATCTGGTCGACCGCGAGTGCAACGAACGCAAGCAGCTATAAAAGCCATTCGCGAAAGAATTCGTCGAAATCCACGCCGCAAACAAAATATCTTAGCAAAGCAGATTAATTTAGCTCCAAGAACCGTTTCCAGGATAATCAACGAAGACCTTGGACTGAGAGCTTTCAAACGAGGCACAGGTCATTTGATAACCCCTGCTCTTAGAGATAATAGAAGGGTTATACAATGCGTGACATTGAAAATGAAACACCAAGAAATAGTGGCCAGAAAATTATGCAAATTTCAGGGTAGACGCGCCTAACCGAGTTATGCAAATGATGTAAAATGCGCAGCTCTCGTGCGCACATGGAGTAAGATATAAGGGAAGGAACTTGCAGAAAGGACAGTATTCGTGTCGTTATTTCTTCAAGGAAAATCATTGTAGAAATTTTGTTCTTGTGTCAAAAGACACGTGTAATAACAGAGAATGCCAGGTCATCGTAAACGGAGGCAGTTCAAGCAGACAGACGCTTTTACGAAGGGCATGGTGATCGGACTGAAAAGGGCAGGTTGGTCCATACGTCAAATCGCAGCTGATACACACCTTGGTACGTCCACGGTGCACCGACTGTGGAGAAGATGGTTGGAACAAGGAAATGTGGCAATTTATAGGAATGTCGGTGCAACCAGAGTGACGTCAGCACGTGTGGATCGGCGTATCCTTCGACAAGCAGTGGCGGCCCCACTTGTACCGCCATCCTGCAACATGTGCAAGACACCCTAGATCATTCCATCTCTACCAGAACCATTTCCCGTCGATTGGTTGCTAATGGCTTGCACTCATGCCGTCCGCTAAGAAGACTGCCATTGACCCCACCGAATAGGCGCCAACGTTTGGAATGGTGCCGGGCTAGATAGACGTGGATGACGGAATGGCACAGGGTCGTGTTCTCAGATGAGTCGCGTTTCTGCTTGTCCAGTGATAGTCGCCGTGTACGCGTGTGGCGTCGACGTGGAGAAAGGTCCAATCCGGCGGCAATTGTGGAACGCCCCACCGTGCGACAACGTGGAATCATGGTTTGGGGCGCAATCGCGTATGATTCCAGGTCACCTTTACTTCGTATTCAGGGCACTATGACGGCCCAACGATACGTTGATGTTGTGCTGCGACCGGTGACACTCCCCTACCTTCAGGGGGTACCCAATGCCCTTTATCAGCAGGATAACGCCCGACCGCACACTGATCGCATTATCCAACAAGCTCTGCAAGATGTACAGATGCTTCCCTGGCCACCGTACTCTCCTGATCTCTCACCAATCGAGCACGTCTGGGACATCATTGGACGCCGTTTGCATGCCTTGCCACAGCCGCGTTCAGAAGACGAACTGTGGCAAATGGTTGAGAGGGAATGGAGAGCCATCCCTCAGGACGCCATCGGTACTCTAAGTGACTCTCTACCTAGACGTGTTGCTGCGTGCATCGCCGTCCGCGGTGGTCCTACTTGCTACTAAGCCGACGCCGTTCTCGCTCTGTATTATGACTATCATTTTGAAATAAAGATCACTTATTGTTCGTCCCTGTCTCTCTCTGTCTGCCGAGTTTCATCACTTTCTGGCCACTATTTCTTGGTGCTCCATTTTCAATGTCACGCAGTGTATATATATATGTGATATGATCCTGTCGACTCTTCTGTGATATGATCCTGTCGACTTTCAATGTGACAATATAGTGATAATAATGTGGTGGTGAAAGAGAAATAATCACACGACGAGTTGGTAGAGGAATAACCCAGGTAACCAGCGAGAGAGAGGAGCGCAAGGGGATGCCACCGCTGAACGACCGTTTGTTTGCCACCACCCCCTGACTGTCCAAAAATAGACCTGAGGTTCTACGAAAAGCCCTGCGGTCGCCCCCTGGAATGTGGTGGTTGGTGTCCCAAAATGACCGTACTTTTAGCTGCGTTCTCTCTCTACGTCTCTCTCTCTCTGGTCGACTGTAGATTTACTTTATTATTCTTGGAAGAGCATATATTATGACATGTGGCCCCCGTTGAAGAAGGCTGAACATGGTTTGAGTATACTTAAAGCTGGTGAAGTCAGGAATAGAGAAAATAATTTTACAGTTGAAATTAATTAAGGTTATGGTGACATAGTTTTATGTAAATAAAATATTGCATAGCACACAAGTAAATATTATTTACAAGCAGTTTTACAACACCAGAGAGTTTGATATTTAAGGAAATTTTGGATAATATCAAAGCTACGAAAGGCTATATACAATAACATCTAATGTATTATAAGGGAAATGTTATTGAGGAGTGTGAACAAGGAGAAGAAGAGTCACATACATATGATGAAATTCTGAAGATCATTAAGACTGGGGAACTCTACACTTCAAGATATTTTTCAGGCGGACATGGCAAGGGGAAACTTGTCATGGGCTTTCTATGCTATAGGTGTAGAGTACGAGAAATGAGATTGAGGTTGGCAATTGTGTGAGCTCAGGACTGAGGTAAATATAAAACTACATACAATGTTAGAATCTTGGCGAACAGAGCGAGGGGAAACTTGCCCTGGGCCATTCTACCTTATCTATGCAGTTACTTGTGTAGCGAGTCCGAGGGGAAAAGTCCCGTGTGTAGGTGAGGAAGTCGAATGGACTTATATTTAATTTGCGGAAAGTATGCGCGCACAGTGCCAAAAATTGGGACGAGGACTGCGTTGTCCGTTACAAGTGACAAGCTGCTCGGACACGAGGTGTTTGAACCGTCGTGGGAGCTTGTGCAAGGCGATGATTTCGCGGTGGGTTGAACGTAAGACCCATGTCTGCGCAAAATGATGACGGACCGGACAGAATCAGCGACGATGTTTAACGTACCTCCGTGGAAAATATCGGAGGTAGGCTATATCGTGCTGGTT